CGAGCTAGTCGCTTGGGCAAAGCTAGATAGTAATTGACGACTCTTTGACAAGAGACACTTCTGTAGCGCCGACGCTAGTCTTTGTTTAGGCTCAGTTGCCGCGTCATATCATCGCTTGTCAATCAGCGAAGATCGAATGCACCGGCCCCTTCCATCTCGTATGCACATTGTTCGCTAGTCTTGATGTACCAGTAGATACTTCCAGTACCCCCACTCTTAAGATTGCCGCCATGCTTGCTCAGTATGGAGAAGCATTGGACCAGGCGCTTGTTACAATGTCTCTTCGAAAATCGAATGCATGGTTACAAAGGGTAATCAAAAGTATCCAGGTTGGGGCGAAAGACTGGTGCTAAGGTCGGAGGTTAGGCACGGGGGTAGGATAGCGTACTCGTGAATGGTGGCGTCTGACTACAGCGTTACGGATTCGCATACGTCGTTGAGGAGAGGGCGCAGAAGGGAGCGCCGAGATGATGATAGTGAAGCTACAAAACTGTCAGATGCATGACCAAGGTTGAAGGCGGCGAAGAAATGGCGAAATATACATTTAGATTCTGTGGTAATACAACAATGTTATCGGGGTATCTGTAATTGGAAACTACAAGACGGGTGTGGACATGTTGGAGAAGGGTAGTGTTTGGCTTCGAAGTGGATCTATTCTTTTCGGCAGCCGCGCCTTGAGAACAAGGTGTGAGTGGCAGGGACTATCCTAAGGTCGGAGAGGAGGTTTTAGGAGAAGGGGTTACTAATTTAATGGGCTGAGCGGGATGGGGGATGAGGAAAGAGAAGAAAAATAGAACTTTGGATGGGAGAAGGGAAGGGGAAGGGCTATGTAGTAATAACATAAGACATTCGGCATCATCGTGTCGCATTATCATGAGAAGGGCAGAGAGGTGTACTGAAAATGAAACCAAGTATAAAAAAAACAAAAGCAGTGACCCTATTGGGGTAGCGCTTTTACCATCCATTTACGAAAGGCTTTGGCCTTACTCCCTGAAGCCTTGCTGGCTTGTGTGTCCAAGTGGCTTGCGGCAGTGAAGGCTTCGACGACGCTCATGGCGTTTGCTTCTTCGTCTTCGTTGAAAGTGATGAGGTCGAGGAATTGGCGGAGGACAATGGAGCCGAGCTTGGCGTGTGCTTGTTCGACGTAGTCGCTGTTTACGGTTTCGGCAGAAGTGCGGGCAATGACGCTCCAGCCATCGGGCTTGAGTGATGCTTGGCGGGCAAGCAGTCGCTCGCTGGAGGCTAGCAGGATAAAGGCTCTTATGATTGCGTCCTTGTTTGTGATGTGATCGGGCGAGACGTCGAGGACTTCTAGGAAATCATCGAGCGAGGCAGTGCCAATGAAAGTGTGGCGGTGCTTGTATTCCAGATCACGCTCCTGCTGGATGGCTGTTGCGGTGCCCGTCTTTTTCGGCAGGCGTTTTGGTGTGGCTGGGTGGAGAGAACGAGTGTTTGTTGGGCTCGAGAGGCGGGAGGTTTCGCCGGGCGCATTGGCAGCCTTGATGGGGAGGCCGAGCGAGATTCTGCGCTGGTGTGTGTTTGCGGAGCGCTGGGGCTTGGATGTGTTTGCTTGCAGCTGCAGGAGCCCCTCGTTTGTCTTTGCACGGAGGGGCAGGGAACGCGAGGCTTTTTGTGCACTGGCAAGGCGCGACTCGATGGTGGGGGTGGAGGGGGTGCGGAGGTGCGAAGGGCGGCGCTTGTGCACATGGACAGGCTCGTCGCAGTCGCCCTTGAGCGAAGGCGACTTTTGCAGGTCATGGTAGGCAAAGTAGTCGGGGTTGTGGTTGTCTTCCTTTATTCGATCCAGCGAATAGAGGACGGGCTCTTCGAACAGAGTTGCGTCGGTGGCCAGGCCGAGTGCGTCGGCGGGGTCAATGGCCCGGGTGCGGGGGCTGGCGCGGGGGCTGCTGGCAAACTTGAGGCCGTTGACATCCGAAGGCATGACCCAGTGCTGGACGCCCTGCTGGGCCTTGATGTCGTGCTTGAGCTTGCCCTCGAGGGCGCTCTCCGTGTCGCTGGCCATGGAGAAGCGGCGCGGGGTGCGCGAGGGCGAGGTGGGCTGGTTCTGGGTGTCGTAGCCGGCGTTGCGGAGGGCGTTGAGGATGGAGCTGTCCCCGCGGTCGAGGTAGAGCAGGCCGGTTCTCCACATGGCTGCGTGAGGGGGGAAGCTTGTCTGTGGGAGACGAGTCAATGGCGGGAGGGCGGGAGGGCAATTGGCAACTGGAGCTGGGCCAAGGGCGTCAGTCGTCGTTGTCGTCTGAGGGTTCCTGCTGCGTGCGATGGCCGTACCCAACAGTCACCCTCTACAGTCTTGTCGGACGCGGACAGGTGGGCGCGATGTGCCGCAGGCCGAGCTTTAGTACTTGGTCACGTCGTGCGTGTGCTCGAGTCGGCCGGCGCTAGTGCCCGCTTTTCACCGCCATTTTCCGCATCGTGTGGGCGTCGGGTGGAAAAGTCTGTCGCAGCAGCGGTGCGTCTTGTCTGCACTGGGCCTAAGCCATGTCTCGCAGCCGGCAGCCGTCGAGGGGCCCCCATGTGCATGCGCCCTGCTCTTTTATTGTTGTCGTTATTGTTATTATTAGGCCTCTTTGTTTTTCGCCTGCGCAGTGCGGCCCTGGCCCACCAGTCTGAGTGCTGCCCGTCGTCTGTCGCCCAATCATGCCGCCGCTTGCACGCTGCCGCTGCCAGCTGATTTGGCCACGACTGCACACAATGCCACTCCCTGTACCTGCATGCGCATCAGTACTTACATGTACGCAGTTGGTGGTGTAGGCGTAGGCCTGGCGCACCACCGCACGGCAGCCATGGCATCCCGACTCGCCCCGGCGTCGGACGAATCTGGCTCGCATCTGCATGGCTGCTGCGGGTGGGAGCTGCGAGGGGCGGCTGGCGTGATGGTGAAGCAATGACGTGGTGGAGAGAGCGGGCCCACCCAGCGCAGGGCTGAAGAAGAAGAGAATGCCGTGAGCTTTTTGCGGCCATATTGTCACCCACGCCCGCCGCCCGCCCTCAGCACCACAACCACCAAACACACCGGACCATCTTCGGAACCCGTTTGCCATGGGCGAAAATCAGCGGGGCAGCTGACGGTGCAATGCGCTGCTGCTGCTGCCATGTCCACGCGTTGCAGAGGGCACGCAGACGCCTCCATGCGGCACCATCGGCTGCCACAATCGCCCACCATGTCCACTGCTTGCTGCTCACCCACCTCTCGACCCCGCAGTGACACGATGCCGCCCGCATGGTCGAATCGCACACTGACGCGTGCCAGGCGTGTTTCGCTTGCAAAGCCGTGATTCGCTGTCCATGCCACCTGGCTGCCCCCCCCCCCCACACACAAAATATCATCTTTGTTGACATGCACGTGATGCCTCTAGCGTCGACTCAATCTCGTTGCTGTCCACGAGGGCGTGGGAGTGGACTGGAAAGAGACACAAGGGAAGGCGCTAACCACTTGGAGCCAAGCCCAAGGGCAGTCCTGTCATCCTCCTCCTCCTCCACCACCACCACCACCACTTTGTCCTGCAAAGCTGCAAGGCTGCCCTCAGGCCTCAGGCACTCTTTGCTGTCCGAACAGAGCGGCAACCGACCTTGAAATTGTCAAATCATGCCACAGCTGTAGCTCGCTCGTGGCACACTTAACCTGGCGTCAGCATGCCCTTGTCGTACATGATCCAGATGGCATTCCTGTTCAGGTTTTATCGTGTCCTAGTCAGAGACAGATTCCAGGAACGCTCGTCGTCACTACCGGTAGACGTCCGGGTAGTCTAGAGTAGCCGTCATTTTAGACCATTGCCGGCCGGATACATGACTGAGCCTTCACACCCAGCCCTATTCTTAGTTAGCGTACAAACTCACCATGCTTTACGAGCCAGCCTCGAGGGCAGGAAGCCTTTTTGGCCCAAGACATGAATGAACAGCAAGTCTCGCGCAACTCCGAGACATAGACACAGGTGTATATATACGTATCCCACGACGACCCAGAACAGGCCATTGTAGCGTGAAGAGCCACCAAGATGAGGGAATACGGGTCCTGACGCTCGAGATGCCTATTGACAACAGCCCTGTCCTAAACCAAAACCACATAAGCTTCATGCTGGATGCCACCAAACAAGAGCCCCAGATGGCCGTGTTGGAAGAGTACATGGACTGGGCCCAGGCTGACATAAGCATGCACACCCGACGTGTTCCGCCTCCTTTGGCCGAAGCTGCTTTGACCGCTCGGCCCTGCTGGCCCGCCAACTGAGCTTCTACCACGCGTGACGTGTTGTTTGCCAGCCACCTGTATTGTCTCCAGCCGACCCGACGACATTTAAAAGGTCGGGGCCAGCATGCACGAGGCAAGAAAAAACCTGCTCAGACAAGAGACAAGCTGGTTTGCAACTGCATCCCACAGGCGAACAGACTGTGCAAAGTGTGCCCTGTGTAGTGTAGCGTCGTCGCCATGCGGCGCCAGCGGCCCGCCAGCGCTAGCCGTTCCGGGTGCTTGGCGTAAACAAACCCAAAAACAACCGAGCAGCTCAGCTCTTGGACGAAGCAATGGTGCTGCTAGCCGTACCAAGGACACCTTGCAGCTCCTCTCCGCTCTCGGCACACTCACTCCCTCTCTGCACCTCGAGAGAGCGAGGCCCCGAGCGTGTGTCCGTCTGTCTGCGCAGAGGGAGGGAGGCTTGAAGAATAATCCAATAAACACTATTGTTACCCCACCCACTCACACCGCTCCAACCCTCTCTCTCCCATCGCTCCGAGTCAGCTCCGCTCATGAAATTTCCCACTGCTTTGTTTCTTCCCACCGCCCAGCTCCTCTGCAACTGATTGTACCTGTTGCAGGACACGACATTCCCAACGAACCATTGCCCTGACCCCCCGTACCCACCCGCCCTAGAGGGCGTACATAGTCATGGACGACGGCCCTCCACCTCCCCCACCTCCGCATGGTGCTAATCCAAAGACAACTGGAGGCAGTCATGCTCCCCCCGAACCCCCTCCGAGCGCCGGTCTCCCCCCAGGCAACTATGACATCTTCATCATCCCTCCACACTCCTCAGGGGGTGGCTTCATATACCTGCCCAGCCTGGGTGTGCAACAGAACAGCTTCATAGCCGGTGTACTCAGCACCATAGCCAGTATAGTTCTTTGGAAAGCTGCCGAGCCACACGTCAAACAATACTTCCTCATCGTCAGGCATGGAGTCACAACTGGCGGCAATGGTGTCATTCTGCTAGCCGTCCTCATGCTCCTTGCGGGATGGGCTTTTGGCCAAACACAGGCCGGACGCCGATTCAACGGCGGAGGCGGCCCGGCGTATGGCAATGGGCCACGCGGCGGACCTGGTGCTGGCTCAGGTGCGGGTGCCGGCAACTCTGGAAGCAGCTCCAGTTACCAGCGAGCACCCCCACCACCGCCTCAAAATGGCGGCTTCTCAGGCAGTCCCCCGCCTCATGGCGGATGGGGTGGATACCGTCAATACGGCTCTGCATCACAACCCCCTCCACAAGACGACGGGCCTTCCTCGGACGAAGAGGCTGAGCGAGCTGAGGAAGAGCGCAAACGCGCTGAAGAAAAACAGAAGCGCGCCGAAGAAAAGGAGAAGAAGGCGAAACAGGAAGAAGAGCGCAAGCAAGCTGAAGAAGCCAAAAGAAAACGAGAAGAGGCCGAACGTAAACGTGCCGAGGAAATCGAGCGCGAGCGTGCCGAGAAAGCAAAGATAGCAAAGGCACAAGAAAAGGAGCGTAGGCGTGCTGAGGAGTTCAAGCGCCAAGCTGAAGAGGCTAGAAAACAAGCAGAGGAGGCAAAAAGACAAGCAGAAGAGGTCAAGCGACAAGCAGAAGAGGCCAAAAGGCAAGCCGAGGAGGCCAGATTGAGGGAAGAGGCCAGACTCAAAGAAGAGGCCAGGCTGAGGGAAGAAGCTCGGCTCAAGGAGGAGGCTCGACTTAAGGAGGAAACTCGACTTAAAGAAGAAGCCAGACTCAAAGAAGAGGCAAGAATCAAAGAGGAGGTTAGACTCAAGGAAGAGGCAAGAATCAAGGAGGAGGCCAGACTCAAGGAAGAGGCAAGAATCAAGGAGGAGGCCAGATTGAAGGAAGAGGCAAGAATCAAGGAGGAGGCTAGATTGAAGGAAGAGGCCAGATTGAAGGAGGAGGCTAGGCTCAAGGAAGAAGCCAGACTGAAGCGCGAGGCCGAGGAGAAGAAGAAAGCCGAGGAAGAGAGAAGGAGGCGCGAGGCTGAACAGCAAAGGCTTGCCGAAGAGGAGAGGAAGAGGCAAGAGGAAGCCGAACGACAGCGCATAGCAGAGGAAGAACGTAAAGCCGAGGAAGAGCGTCGCCGGGCTGAAGAAGCCCGATTAGCTGCTGAGGCGGCCAAGAAGAAGAAGGAGGAAGAGGACCGTCGGCGAGCGTGGGAGGAGCTTAAACGAGCTGAGGAAGCGCGGCAGAAGAAGGAGGCAGAGCAAAAAGCCAAGGAAGAAGCAGCCAAACTTGCCCGTGCCAAAGCCGAGAAGGAGAAGTGGGAGCAGATGCGCAAACGTGAGCGAGAGCAGCGTGAACGTGAGGCAAGAGAACGCCTGGCCAAGGAGAAAGCTCGCAAGCAACAAGAGGCCTTGGAGAAGGAGAAAGCAGAGCGCGAGGCACGCGAAGCAGAAGCACGAGCTCAAATCGAAAAGGAGATCCGTGAAAAGCTCGAAGCCGAACAAAGAGCCAAGGCCGAAGAGGAGGCTGCGAAGAAGGCCGCTGCTGACAAGGCTGCTGCTGAAGCTGCCGAAGCCAAAGCGAAGCTTGAAGCAGAACTCGCTGCTGCCAAGGCGAAAGCAGATGCTGAGCGAGCAGAGCGTCTTAAAGCAGCACGTGAACGAGCTCAACGGGACCGAGAGGCTCGTCTCAAGGCCGAAGCAGAGAAGGTCAAGGCTGAAGCAGAAAGGATCAAGGCCGAGAAGATCAAGGCTGAGAAGCTTCAGGCTGAGCAGCTTAAGGCTGAGGCAGAGAGGCTCAAAGCCGAAGCAGAGAGAATCAAAGCTGAAGAAGCCGCCGCCGCCGCTTCGGCTGCTGCTGCTGCTGCCGCTGCCCCAGAGATCACATCAACCCGCAGGTCTACTACATATGGTGGCGTTGGTGGCGGCGAACGACTTGATCCCTATGCAGGCGTGAGAATGCCAGCTCCTGCTTCTGTCGCCTCCAGTCAATCGTCTCCTATCAGGGCTACCGTCACATCTAAGAAATCTTACGAGAAACCCACTGCAAAGTCTTACCTCAGCAGCGAAGATGGACAGTCCTTTGTCCCGCCTCGGTCTACTGCTACTCGCTCACACGTCTCTTCGCAATACTCCGAGTCTTCTTACGCACCTTCAGAGTCGACTGCACGCACAACACCACCAGCTTCGAAAAGCGGGCCATACGCGACAGCCGATCCCAACAAGATTGTCATCAAGGCTGTCTATCTTTTCAACGACTTGTTCCCGAAGCCCGTTGCTCAACTCGTGGCGAATGTAGGCAAGGTAACCGATGGGCTCATTCTAAAGATTCAATCCGAGGGTCTTTTTATCGACGACGATGTACGAGGCATTCCACAGCGTGAGTGGGATGTCAAGGCTTGGACGCTGAAGATGGTAGAGGTAAGTCAGCTTGTTTTTCTTGTTTAGCTAGACAGCTTGATTAAGAGGACGATGCTAACATGTGTGTTTGTGTCAGACGGGTAAGCAACCCACCAAGAGCCTGCATATTCTCCGAGCCTCTGTCCGCGACGCCGACGGCAAGAAATACGTCTTCCTCATTGACGACAGTGAGAGCTGGAAACTGGCGCTTGGTCTGCAGCGTCTCCGCAAGGGCAGTCAAGTGCGTAGTCTGCAGAGTGCTCAGATGGCTCCCAACGAGATGGCCCGTGTACTCAATGCTGTGCCATTAATGGCCTATTAATGAGGGGAAGGCCTTGAGCATGGGAGTATACATATGAATGCTGGGAAGGGGTTTGTTGTTGACTTGTATCGTGTGAAGAGAGTCAACTACGGGTAAGAAAGGCACTCACTTGGCTAGGAAAAGAGAGATGATTACTATGATAAAAAGGACGATGAACAAGACGATGCACAAGCATCAAACAGAGAACAAAAGTCTGGATTTTTGTTTGTTGTACCCTCGGATATCTCGAGAGAATGTACTTTTGGTTCCAGACTGGCTTCTTTCCTTCTTTCTTTCAGTTTTCTTGTCGTTTACATATACCTCCCGCAGCGTCTTTAGCATGATGAGCATCAGCGGCGGCGTTTTTTTCTTTTCTTTTCCTCTACGTTCTATACTGGCTTATTATCAATTTAACATATTGATTATGCTGTCAACACATGTCTGGCCACTCACTTGTGTTGCTCACTATTCGTGTGAGGAAAAAGCTTCCATGTTGTACCTGTCTATTTATGTGTGAGAATGGTTCATCACATTTACATCACCTCGCATGAATGAAGGAGCCCAGAGAATGTGTCTATCAACTGCATTTGTATATTGCCATGTTTCTATCCATCCATCAAGAAAGCCAGGATGGCATCATATCATTGCAGTCTGATTACCGTTTTGAAGCCTCTCCACCAGCTCATATCATTCTCTCGGGCATATCCGCCTGAGCAGTCAAGTGGACAATTGAGTATTCTTGACTCGTTCTCCATAACCTGTGTGCACCGGTCTTTGCAGCTGCGCCTCAGTGTCTAAGCCATCATTAGCATCGCAGTCACGACAAGGTTGCACCATTGTTCAAGCTTACTTGAACCCGACAAAGAGAAGCCCGGGTCTAGATCTTCGGCGTATCAATCGAAAGCTTGATAGCCTTGTATGCAACGACAGCCGAGCAGCCGTCGTTCAAGATGGGCTGGAGCACAGGACCGGACTCGCAGTTGGGCGCAGAGTAGACGTTCACTATCGATTTTGCCAGTCATGTTAGCCACTGCTCTTTTCCTTTGTATCTCCGAGACCATCACTCCAGAGCTGGTCAAAGGACAACTAAAGGAGTGACTTACGAGAGTTGTAACGAATAGAGTCGTCGTGGTGGACAACGCGGAGAGACTTGATGCCCGGAGCAAACTCGTAGCACTTGTCTGCGTCGACCGACATCAAGGTGGCGGGGCCATTGCAGTTGTCTTCGCCGAATACGTGCATGCGGACCTGCTTCGGGCCAGCAGTGGTCGTAGGGAGGGCAACTGCAGCGCTAAGCGCGGCGACGAAACCAATGAGCGTCTTGGTGAACATTTTGTGTTGTTTCTTGGGGGGTTTTGAGGTACGTATATGTATGAGTATATGTGTGTGTGGGTTAAGGGAAGAGACTGGAGTCGACGGCAGATCCAGCTTTTATAGTCTGTGGGTGAGAGGAGCAAACAATTCAAGGTGAATCTACAGAGGCAGGCACGCTATATTGTTGGGGAGTGGGCCCGGGCTCCGCAAACGACAGCTGAGACACTCCAAAGGTGAAAGTGAGAGAGATTGTGTAAAGGTGAAAGGAAAAATTTTCGTGGTTTCGACTGTAATCACTGTTGAGCAACAACCTTTCACTTTTTCCCATTCAAATAGGTTCTTGACCGACATCACTGACTAAACTACCAATCATCACACACGGCAGGTGACGTCGTATAATGGAGGGTGTGTAAGAGGGTTTTATAAAATATTATCATAGGTTTATGTAAGCGTGGCCTTGAGTGAATTTTACATGCCAATTCACAAGGAAATACTTCAGGGAGAGGCTCACTCAGTAACCGGTTTTGCACCTGAAATTGGTCAGTCTCAAATTCAGCCAGTGAAGCAATATTCTTACCAAGCATCCATCCAATGCCGGAGGCAAGAGCCCCTGTCGCGGCATTGGTCACCATGTCCCTCCTCCGAACACGCTCTTGGGTGTCGATACTACCAGTCTCACTCCCGTCCAAACTAGCTCGACCCGAGCCAAGCTTTGGATTCGATGCACCCTCTACGCTTCCACGCAGAGGGAAGGCCGTCTTGGAAAACGCAGCTGCAGCGCCGCGTGCCACATCAAATAGACCCATCGGTGCCTCTTCGGTTGCGCCCCTACCGACTTCGCGACGAGGCTGAACAGTAGTTGTTTCCAGGTCAAATGTGCCAGGCAATTTTCGGTCTGCTGCATCGTTGAAGCGCTCCTCGGCTTCGTTCTCTTGTACGAGAAGATGCATCGTTTCAGCTTCGCACTGCTGCCACACGCAAAGAACCTCTTCAAGATGTCTAGGTGGTGCTAACAGTAGCGCTTGGGAAAGCAACTCCATGCGTTGCTCCAGTCTCCTTAGATCCGGTCTCGCTGTTTTAGTGGCTTGCGACCAGCTGCTAGACAGAGATGACGAGTCGTAACGTCCAGCACGTAGGGCAGCCCGCCAAGCAACGTCCTCAGCTTCGTCTTCGTGGTTCTCAGCATCTTCCGACATGGTTGTGAAATAGTGAGATGGCGTTGGGGGAGTGCCCGAGGGTGTAGTCGGCGTCAGCCGGGTAATCACGTATGAATATGCCGTCTCGAAATCATCTTCCTCGAGGGCAGCCTCGATCGCCATTCCAATCACTCGTCTTTCGGCAGTCGCTTTCTTCGCTTCAATCTCTGCAGGGTCAAGCGCAGTATCCCACTCTTCTTCGTCCATGATGGTGAACGGCATTGCAATGACTAGGTTCTGTCCAATCGATACTAGGTCGTCCAGCTTCGTGTAACTACCCCTATTTTGCGACAACAGCTTCCGAACCAAAGACAGAGGATTCGAGCCGACTCTAATGTTGACTGGTTGAAAAGGCACACCATGCTGTAGTATGAGTGAGTAAAAGGACATGGAGTGGGTTGCTGAAAGCAGAGCCTGGAAACGCCGAAAACGCGAGGAAGAGGGAAAATTAGGGGCAAAGGCATTCAAGATGTCAGCGGCGCGTTTGACGCCGCCCCTGTTGCGATTGCCATTGCTTGCATTATCGTAGTGATGCATAGCTGAGGCGAGCACCACTTTCTCTACGTCAGAGGAAAGTAGCGGTTGCTGGCCAAAAGACGGCTTGAGATAGATTTCTATGGCAAGAGGGAAGTGATTGCTCTCGATGAGCGCTTTCAATATTTCAGTCTCCATGGTCTTGCTATCTAGCATACCGAAGATGCCTTGGGCCTTGCGATCTTCGTCGTGGCGGTCAGTACCCCAGTTCCACAGCCACACCAGCTTCAAGCGGATGACGCGCCACTGTTCATTGTCGCTCTTCGGATTGCTGTTGAGCGTATGAAGTATTTTCTGCAACATGGACATTTGGTCAGAGTAGTCATCTCGCAGAGACATGTTTGCAATGTCTCGGATAGAGATCGGGTGGTGTAATGTAAAGAGGGTATATGAAGTGAATATAATGAGTTCCAGAACACGAAAAGCATCAGGGCCTGGCTGCGTAAGGTCATTGTCGGGGTGCAGAAGGCGCTCCTCCCTGAGCAGGGCAGTGGTTGAATCATGGAGTAGAGGGTTCTTGAGGTCGTAAGAAGGCAATTTGTCCACGCTTATGGTGAGGTCTGGGGGCGGATCGTAGTTGAGTAGTGCACATATCCGGTCCAACAGCGCGTGCGCAGTTTGCAGAGTGTTTATGTCGCTCTGGTGAATTAGGTAGAGACATGCTAGAGCTGTGCGAGCATACTTGATCTCGAGCTGGCGTTGCTGGGCATCGTCGACATAGTCACGTCCTTGTTCATAACCCCCCAAATCCATGTCCTCGGGGCCGTCCCATTCAGAAATGGCTGTTGTGACCAGGGCCAAGTGGTCTTTTGAGGTATGCAGTAGCCATTGAAACAAACAATCCCAGTCGTCGGGTACGTGTGGCCGCTCATGGTCAATTGACTCGCGCCGATCCTGGTTCACGGAGGTGCGCCGACCGCGGTCGTGGGCTCCACATAACCAAGGGGCAACGACACCCTTGAGATCGCGCGCGACATTGTGTATGTTATCTTTGCTGGCATTGCACGCATTCGAGAGTTGCAAGTCAACGGCACGGCGCCCCTTGAGTGGGGCAAAGTCGTCGAGGGTGGGTGGAGGCAAGTGTGGATAGTACTCGTAGCTGAGGCGCAGAAGGGGCAGGGCAGTGGAGATGAACCAGGTACGCAGGTGCTCCGAATGGTCGAGGAAAGGCACGACGAGGCGCGGGACAAGATCTAGTAGGCCTGTCTGAGCATCGATGCGGTGGGAGCGGTGGATGAGGAAGTGGGTGAAGAGATCCATGTCGCGGTCCGCCGCATACAACGGATGGGCTACAGGTGGCAGCACCAGCGATTGCCTCTTCTTACGGGCGCGCGCATCCGAGAAGTGCTCGACAGGCGCGACATCGAGGGCATGGGCTGGATCATCACCAGGCTCGCGGGCGCCCGTAGCCAGGCCGGCGACGAGGTGGTGGTACGAGGCCGGGTCATGCTGCTCTGGCAGGTATGCGAGGAGGATGCTGAGGCTCAACTCGAGCGGCAGGTCGCCATCGCGCAGAGCCGTCAAGGCCTGTAGCGCAGGTGTGTTGGCGTGAGCGGCATAGTGCACGGCCAGGAGGATGCAGTGCGGGCCTGAGAGTTTCGACAGCTTCTGCAGCGCCGCCATGTCGAGGTTGAGGCAGTGGCTTTCTGACTTTCTGATGCACTCAGACTCAGACAGACGCAGACGCAGACGCAGACTGCCGTTCGCTACGTCAATCGCCCAGCCCCGCCTCCCGCGCTAAGGCCCCTGGGCAATGGCCCGCCTAGACAGTCGTTCTCCACCACACCCTTCACACACCACTCACACACGCACCCACGCACGCACCCACGCCATCCTCTGCGGCCTGCTCTTCTTTTCCCGTTTCAATCGACGGCCATCTGCAGTCACCCTCATCGCACCCCGTGAAACCAGACGATCCAGAACACACAGAAGAAAAAGGCTGCTCGACCACAAATCGTCGACGCGGCTTGTCTACCACTTCTGGACTTGCTTCTATACCTCCTCTGCTTGCCAAGACACACGTCAAACATGCCGCGTTTCCACTACCGAAACAAAAGTGTAGCAGCCTATTGCACAACCCAGCCCATGCAACGGCTCATGAGCATTTTGGCACCTGTTGCCAAACCTGATATACCTTGAAATCGCTGCCTGACTTCTTCGTCTCCTTGGCTTCTGCATCTCTTCTGCTCTCCTTTCTCTGTCCGTCTCTAAACACTCACAACGACGACGACGACGGCTCCGACTCCGACTCAGGCACTCCTTCACCCACGCTCTTTAGCCCGCTCAATCCATTGCTCCTGATTTCACTTCCATCTTGGGGCATCTCCTGCTCCGTCCCTTCATCATGTACATCGACACTGCGGCTGCCAACAGTCGCTCAATGCGACCCCAAATCATAATATCTCCATCTCCATACAATGAACGCTCCACGCCGCTTCTAGAAAGCTTCATAGGCCAGACTTCAGAAGCACCGCCCACATATCTTGAAGCCACTACCCCTGGCCTCTACACGAGTCGCCAGAGCAGGGGAGAGGGCGCCAGGCTGCTCTCCTTCGATGGCCAAGAAGCCAGGGATGCAACTTTCAAAGAAGACCAGTATGACGGCCGAAGTCTGAGGCAGCGCTGCATGAGGAAAACGTGGGTCAAGCTGCTTGCTGCAGTGCTTTGCTTCATGTTTCTTGTCGCCATGCTGGCTTTGATGGCGGCAGCTGTGTCGGTCCGACGGGACAAGCTAGTACGTGACACTTGCTGGGCGAACAACAACAACAACAAGATGCTTGAATAACGCTAACCTTCACAAAGGGCGTAGTATCTGCTCCCGAAACTTCTGCCGAGGCTGCAAAAGCCGACTCGTTTGATCGACCAGACCTCATTGCCATTCCATGGCCAGCGCAATCATCAACAGCCCAGCCCCCGGCATCAGGAGACTCTGCTCAAGTTTTTCCAATCCGGTGGCCTTCAAAATGTGGCAAGGAGTATAGTGTCAAGACTGAATGGTACGATTTTGGCAAACCTACCGAGCTAAACATTCAGGAGGCGATACACCAGTTGGATGGTTCTTACAAGCGCGTGGCCGGCTGGATACACATTGCCCAAGCCCCTGCAGAGCAAGCCCCTGGTACTGTTCAGGTTAAGATGTCGTATGCAATCTCGTCAACAGTCGATGTTAACAGCGTTCCCTACACACAAACTCCATCAGGACTGACAATCGGCGACCCCTCTTTTCCCGACGGCTTCGACGGCGTACGGGCTGGTAAAGCTTGCCTTGGTATGTCGGTGGTCATTTATGTAGCCCCAGGAGTCTCGATGAAGACACTCAAAGTCTCGTCCAACCATATGGGCATGCAGGTCCATAATGGCGCCAGCTTTACCGTCACAGACTCGACATCCATCTCCCTCACCACCGGTACACTGGATGCTGGAGCGTTCTATTCGCGCCAAACCCACTTGCAAACCATTTCTGGCTCCATCAGCGGCATGTATGCCCTCAACGATCTTCTTTCTGTCAAGACAAAGAGTGGCTCTGTCAACATCAACATTGAGCCCCAAGAAGCTGCCAACGGGTCATCCAACCCTGCAGTTTTCATGGTCGACACTCTATCCGGCAGCATACGCACTGATTTCAAACGAAAGCATATCCCCGAACGAGACTACAAGACCTTCATCAACACAACCGTCGGTTCGGTGGACGGTACCTTCATCCACGGCTCGCGAACAGAAATCAACTCAATCGCAGGTCTCGTAACAGCCGACATCTTGCCTTTCAAGTCGGGTGACTATCAATCGGAGATATACACACAGACACACTCGGGTCAAACGTCGCTGACACTACGCACCCCTTACAAGGCGAAAAAGACACCGATGACTGGTCTTGTCAGCACGCATCTGAGCACTTCTGGAGCCCTCGACATCACCTATCCGGAAGAGTGGACCGGTCATGTTGATGGAACTTCTCTTAACGGAGCACTGCACCTGCAAGGCAAGGGGCTAGAACTGCTCAACGAAAATGACACACCCGGCAAAAATCATGTCGAAGCGAAGAAGGGCGATGGTGCTAGTACATTAAGCTTCGACACTACTAGCGGACAGTGTGAAATCAAAATCGGCAAACTGTGAGAGACGGTGACGGTTTATGTATGGAACGAACAAACGAAGTGTGTATCAAATTTCGGAATGGGGCGGGCAAGTTCTTTTTTTAGTGCGGCAAGTCTTGGATGTTGGACTGGAGGCTTCGTCCCCAGTATCCACTACATGGCATGGACAACAAGGCCGCTTAGTGTGTATACCCTGTGAAACTAGTGTATTTCGTCCATAGATGCGACGTTAAAACAATATCTGATAATGACCTCCTCTTTTCTATCCTCGGTCCGACCAGACGATGCATATGCAGACTCCCTGAATAGTGACAAGGCTGTGCTTCGTCTTACTCACTTCACACATACCCCACGGTATTCTGCTCGGCCGAATTCAGACATATTCCAGGTGATACATGCCTGAACAGCCGTATCCAACCAAACAGACTGTCTTGCTGTTAGACAGTAGACGCCTTTATTTTGGAATAGACAGGGAGAAAAAATAAAAACATATAGTTCAGACACTTGCTGAATCTCATACATAGCATCCAGCAAAAAAAAACAAGATCTGAATCTCTCCCCCATACGTACCACGATTTACACACATATGCCGTATCAAGTTCCCCCCGCCCATGCCTCCCCTTTCCCCCCCCCTCTCCTTGTAGCCCTTTTTTCCCTCTTTACCCCACTTCAGAGTATCAAGGCATGAAGTAGGGCTGAAAAGTCTAGCCGGTAAGGGGGTACGTGCGTACGTACGTATGTACATTTTAGTAATAACTGTTTTCGTGGTTCTACTGATAAGATGGTTCTTTTTTTATTTTACTTGGCGATGTACAGGGAGGTGGGGGAGGTGGAAGGGGTATCTCAACCTTTTTTCCCCTGCGTAGTCTTGTGTAGAGTAATAGTGGTCCTACTATATGGAAGGGGGTTTCGGCCTGTCCGTGTATGTTTGGTTCATGGTTGTTTTGTGGATGGTTTTGTATGCCTGGTTTTAGGGGGTGGAGGGGGTTGTGTAGATTGAGGGTGATGGTGTAGGTGTGGTGGGAAATTTGGTTCGAGTCTGAATATGTTTTGTTCGCTGTTTGTAAGTGGTTTTGTATGCCGCTTCTTAGAGTGTACTACAGGTGGAAAAAAAGGGGGGGTATGCTGGATAAGGACTAGATGTCTACTGGGTCCAAGGGAGTGGATCGCGAGTGGAAGATCTTCATCGGTACGGGTGTCTGTGTCGTTTTGGAAGATCAGGGATTCGCTGATCGTGGATTAGGTCCTCCAGAAGTTTTTTTGTTGAGCGCAGGGTTTGCCTTGTGTAGATCAAGGAAAATAACGAATATATATTGTGGAGTTATAGCGATTACGACATGATCTACCCGAATACCTCAACAATACTTCTGACTGAGGCCCGAAAGTCGACATGATCAATTCGATGCCTTTCTTCCTAAAGTTTCAAGTCAGAATCGGGATTGATCGAGTATTCATCGTGGACGGGTTTCGAGTCCCAGTAGCAGCGTCCACGCTGGTCGAGAGTGGGGCAAAGCAAAACGGCGGAGAATGATGGATGCAACAGCAAACAATAGCCAGACACTTTTGCAAGACTATGCTTTGACTGCAAACAAGGTCGCACTGGTCACACTGTTTTGGCAAAACCTCACGTGTGTTCAGGACGTGCAAGTGTTGGGTGAAGGTGGACAAGGAAGCGCATAGCGTTTAGGAAGTCGAAATCCAAATTTAGGAGCTTTACGCAGGTAGCTTGGGGCAAAGCATGGGCATGCCTTGCTTGTCTAACAAGGCAGCATTAACGCTGATAGCGTGCAGCACCTTGTAGCGCATCCTCGGGCTTGGCTTGTGCTGCACGAAATCTACCTAGTTTATGCTCTCTGGTATGTCTTTCGGCACAATAGTTAATTTAGACATCTTGGAGGCTCAAAACCCTGCTACAAGCCCAGGCTGGGCACTTTTAGGCAAGTCCGATAGCTAGGTTCATGAGTATTTAGTTGGATACTGACATGGCGCGATGACACTCGGCCATGCGGCGTGGCGAAGCTACTGCTCCATTTGTGTAAGTACATGGTGGGTGGCCCCAGATGATACCAGAGGAAATATACATGCAGGCTTCACGCCACACTGCACCCCATACTGGCAATTCCAATTACTTGTACACACATAGTTGTTCGGCCGCTGTCACTTGTCAACATGACTTAATAGCAGGTGTGAGAGCCTGTCATGGGCCGCACCGCAGCAAGGCCACCAGATAGAGTGTAGACACATGGACTAAGTAGTGTAAGTAGTAGTACATGCTTACACTACTACACAAGACATGTACATTCATAGTAAGTAGCTGTGCAGCACCACCACCATCGTCATCATCCACGGTACAACGCACGCTCTTGCACAACCAAGGGCGCCTGAGCTGGTGGACCGAGATTAAAAGGCCAATAAGGATGGTACGGTTCGGCGAGGATGCGGTCCGTCTGAGGGGGCATAAACACAAAGGCGTCGAGTTGCAGAGGAGCAGGAGGGATAGTACCAGTACTCAGCCACGGCGACGGTGACGGCGACGGTGACGGCACAACGGGACTGGCGGGCAATTGCTCTCGGCGAGTCAATACGAGGACAGGTGAGGATTGTGGTGATGGTGCGGTACATGTTGCGGTCAGAGTGGGTCGCAGATGCCCCTGGGCGTGTGTCAGGAGTGTTTCGTCCTCGTCGCGACACGGTAAAAGGCGTGGGGCTGGATGGATTCGGTCGCTGACCTCATCCGCCGCCCTCAGCAAAAACTACGCGCCACAGGCGACCCAACCAACCTCATCCCCAATCAGCGGCCCATCCCCGTCGTCGGGATGGCCCTCCGCCCAATTCAGCACAGTCGTCCTGATGCGATGAAACGGCCTGCCAGCCCACCCCAATCGTGTTGATACATGGGCAGGTTGCACATTTCCCAGGCATATTCTTCCTTCACCCCATCCATCCTTCTTCACTGGCTCTACACCATCTCTGGCCGGCGCTGAAACCTGGCCTCGGATTGCGGAGAGAAAGCCATGGCTTGCCTGCCCAGCTCGACTGCTGGCCGTCTGCACCAACATGGCCCCTGTGGGTGTTAGAGTTGATGGCTGAGGGCTGCTGCCATCGCCTCGATCCATGTCGACCGACACTTGTGCCATGGCGACTTGGGGCGCCTGCTGCCCTCCGCCGAGGAGCCCTCTCCGAGTAAGCCGGGAGGAATGATGGAGACACTGACTGGTGCGACCGTTCCGAGTGCGTCTAATCGCCGTTTGGAATCCCAGCAGCCTTGCGCACCGTCCACCGCCCACTACATCCATCCCCGCTAGACTCTCTTTTGGGTGAACGCTTCTGCTCTGTTCGTTCCAGATCACCTGCAGCCAAGGCGCGTCGCGACACTTCTCTCAAACTTGAGTCGAAGCGGTTCCGTTGCGTCAATTGCACACATCGTCGCTCTTTGTTGTTCCTCTCGGATGTCGCCAACCCGTACGCATCATATAGCCTAACAGCCCCTCCAGCCGTCTTTCCTTCTATTTGGCCCTTCACTCTTTAGGACCCGACCCAACTATCTTTGTAAACATTTCTTTCTTTTGGAGCCGGCTCCATTCGCGCTGGTTGCGTTGTTGGGAACTTTTGTTCTCGTACACTCTTTTGAAGAAAACCCCACACTTACCACACTATCCAATCTTATTCGGTTCCGCGCCTGCTCATCATATTGGCCCTCAACTATATCTCCTTAGACCTTCATTTGACTAGTCATCCCTACTTTCGCTACCAATGTAAGTGGCCCGCGTCCTCCGCTCACCCCTCCCCGGATTCCTTGACAGACACCAATCTTGAACATCTTGTCAACGCCACAATCTCTTTGACTATCTGCTTACCGCCTGGTCTAACCAGAATATCCTCAGATTCCACCAAGACTGTTGTATATAGCTGGTTGGCTACAAGATGAACTACCACACCGTCCAGCAGTAAGCCAAATCCAACACTACTCAACCAGCGATGTACATCTAAGCAAAACAACCTGATATTTAGATACAGGCCATCGCCTAATAGACAACACACGATGGGTCATCCCTCTCCCACACCAGGAACTCAGATGATGTACCCTTACGGGGGCCTTGCCCCACAAGGACAGCAACAGCAACATGCACAGAACCTACTGCAAATGTCCAGACCATCGCCACCACAACCGTCTTGGGCAGTACCACAGCCTCACCCTTCGTACTATGGTGCGCCAAGAGGTCCCGTCGTGGGTAGACAGGATTCGGGACACTCACTGGCGCCAACAGATGTGAATGTAACCCAACCAGCTGTCACAAGCAGCGACTACTACAGCAACAGCATGGCGCCCCCTACATCGCTGGCACCTACTGATTTCTTTCCGGGTGTCATCGACACAAGTAAGACCCATGACCGAGCAGGTACAGATGCCGTACTGACAACCACAGGTCCATGGGGTCAGAAGGTGTGCGAAGAGTTGGAATCCTTTCCCTCCCTGGATCCAGATGTCACCGACTTCAACAACGGCATCATGGGACATGACGAGAACACACCCATCATCGACCTGCGCCAGTACAATGGCATGCCACAACAGGAGCATGACAACATGGCCAACTTGAACCCAAACACTACCCGACGCCTATCAGAGTCTTCTTTCTCAATGTCGAGCACAGGTGGTGTGCTTCCAGAGCCAGTAGCTTACGAGGACTTGGGTACTTCGGAGCCAGTGTCATACCCCTCCGAATATGACACCTGGAGCCGCCCAGAACCAAGCCAGGGCCATCTCCTATCCCCGCTTGCGTCACCATGTCGTCCTCAGTACGACGGCGTAGTGAGAAGCGGAAGTCGCTCCCGCGCCTCGCCAGCACCGCACAATAACGTACGGTCGTCGCCATATACACTCGACAGTGGCCGTTTCAAGAGATGGTCTACCGGACACGCGCCAACGTCAACCCCCGCCAATGCCCGAACGGTATCCCAAGTACCGAACCACTTTACGCCATACGGCCCAAGGATGAATCCCCACCATTCCATGCCAGCCTACCCTTCGGGCGCATACAACAACTACGGAATGGCTGCTCAGAACGTCTTGTATTCGCAAACAAACCCTCAGCATACCAACACCCCACCATACTTTGCAGCACAAGATCAATCACCCTACCATCTTGAAGTGCCTCGACCGCTGCCTTCTCAGGGTCTTTTCCGTCTGCTCCAGAGTAATGCAGACCGCCATGGTGGATGTTCATCCCACTTTGCTGACCTTTCGGATCCGCCGGACCTATATTCATCGCTACATGAAGAAGCCTCGAACCCGCCCGAGTCTGATATGAACCCATCAGACCCAGACCTTATCCCGCACGAGCAAGATCTTCGGTTCGTGGGTGACTTGTACACTCCACGATGGGTGCGCGGACATGGAAACAAGCGTGAAGGTTGGTGCGGGCTCTGCAAACCAGGACGATGGCTAGTTCTGAAGAACAGTGCATTCTGGTACGACAAGTCGTTTACGCATGGTGTTAGCGCAGCTACCGGCGCAGCATTCCAGGGCCCACAGGAGACTCGCAGGACAGAAGGCAACCTTGATGTCTGGGAAGGGCTTTGCGGAAGCTGCGGAGAATGGATAGCACTGGTAAGCAACAAGAAAAAGGGAACAACATGGTTCCGTCATGCATACAAGGTAAGTCTTCCGCAAATTGGATTCGCTCGGTCGAATTGGTCGCCTTTACAAATCTTCAGCTGTACTTACCTGAAACGCAGTGCCACACACACCCCAAAGTCAAAGACGGCCCAAAAAGGCGTCGAGAAACGCAAGCCGGGAGAGTTCGTGCAGCGTCATCTGCCTCGTCAACGTCATCTCCATACCCGTTCAAGCATGACTCTCTAGACTCGACTTCTCATCGACATTCCACTCCCACTCCAATCCCAGGGAGCGCATCGCTACAATCATATGGTAGGCCTTTGCCAACGTCTACGCCGACATCGACCCCTCGACCTAGCAGTTCGTGTCATCCAGGCAGTGCTGCGTACCCCACGCCTTCCTCAGCAACACCAACGATGCAATCACTCCGAACGCCCACGATAGCATCGGCAAACTTGAGTCACATGGATCAAACCACTAGGCAAGAGTCTGTTGTTGGCATGTTCACCACGCCATTACAAAGTCTACCAAACTTCCCCAATCATCAGTACACGCCAGACTTGGCACACCAAGTAAGCGAACCAGAGCTCGTTGGTATACGAACGACCACAGTCGCATTGAACTCGATAGCGAGTATGATATGAGGTTACCATGGTGGTACTGAAAGGTGACCGACGGTGCGCCATCTTTACTGGTTTGCGTTTGTTGTTTTCCAATGTTTGTTGAGCAAAATCGTTTCCCTCATACCAATCCCAACACCCCTACAACTCTCAACGGCGAAGGCGTTCTTGGTAATCCCCGAGCATCAAGCGCATGGTTTTTCTAGCAAAGTCGGTTTTATTCTTTGTTTTTCTCTGGAGCGTTCTTGTTTATACAGCGTTACTTTAGGTTTTGGTTACGCCGAGTTGGCGCCAGCGAGCGGTAGTCACGAGGTCATGACTTCCCCCCCAGCATCTAGTTAGATTAGTTTTGGCTCTGTCGTTCATCTCGAGAATCCTTGCCACTCTTCATAGCCCTTGAGTAAATTCCCCCTCGCAGTTCATGTTATAGACTTGCTTTCAGCGAATCAATAAGTCCAAGGATTATCCAAATGCTCACCGTCCTTCTCTCTGTGCCCTTCTTTTTGTTTTGTTTAGAGTGTCTTTTCGAACAGCAAAAAGTGGTCAAGGTGTAGTACTACGCCTGGTTGGGCAACGAATGCGAATCGTAGCTCCCAATCTATTTTACCCACGCAAAACCCCCCCACTTCCAGCCCTACGACTTCAGCCACCGGAAAGAAGCACTCTCAGTCAGCCATGGTAAGATAGCCTCGGCATGCCAAACACCCTCGCTGGCGTCACACAGCCTCATGTTTCGGGTAGCAGGATCTGACACCACACACGGAAAAACTCACTGAAACGCAAGGTGCACGAGCAACGAAGTCGACCGGTCATCTGGATACGTACCCAAAAAAACGGAGTTAGGGGTAGCATGCCGACGTGGAGCTGGGCTGGTAGATGGGATTGCGTACATTGGAAATCCATCTTGCCAATGGACATGGTTTATTTTTGTGGATTATTTTTTTCGAGTCGACGGTTGGTTTGAAAGGCTGAGCATTTTGATACACCCTTGTCCATCTGGATACACACGGACATTTAGATCTGACTTGATCTTGATATGATCTCGATTGTGGTGTGAGACGCCTTGATTATTCGTCCTGCCGGAGAAGTGGTCTGATATCCTCGACGAGTATCAAACCTCAGAGCCTCCGCGCCAGTACCAGATCTGTGGTTTGCAGGCTTCAAGGTAGACGTGATAGATTCGTAGCCATTGCGGCGCGAGACTCGAGTTTTGTTTTGTTCAATTCAAAGAGGCATTCGGTCTCGAGATACTGATTTATGTTGCACATGCGCAACCTGGTTTGCCAAGATGCTTCAAGTGATGATATGCCTCTATAACAATGAAGTTTGCCAACTCTGGTGCAAGGCCTAGCATATCATTGGCGTTGTGTGTCCTAAAAGGTGCTGATGCATCCAACTGGCCATCGTAGAGAATACTCCGCTCGAGCAAAGCAAGTCCCGAATCAGGATAGCCTCTTTCGACCCTCTTCCGCGCCTCTTCGATGCATTCTTCTACGCCATAATTTCCTACGGCAAACTCTTGACCGGTCGTCTCTTCGACAGACTTCAGGACGTCGTTGGCTGATATGATGGCGCCGGCAGCATAGATGTATTGGTTTTTGGTCTGTTCCCACTGGGCAAGCACTCGAGCTACAACCTGGCCTACTCTTGCTAGGCTGGACACCGCAAATAGCTCCATCCCTGTGCCATGAAAAGTAGCACTTTGCCATTCCATGTCAAGGCCCATGTCTCCATTGACGATTTTGGTGTCAAGTGTATACCCTGTAGCGACTGCCGTCCACTCAAAACTCGGACTAGTATCTGACAGGTTCTTGAGATGGTTAATGACCTTTGCTCGTTCTGCATGCTTGGGTAGGCGGGCTTGTAGCTGCTTGTTCAGACTATCATGACTGAACTCATCAGGAACGAATCGCTTGACTCCAGCGGCTACCACGGCGTTGATTATGCTAATCTGTAGGACCGAGTCTCCACCTGCCATTGTGCTTAGGATAACATCATAGCCGGCGAAAGCTGACTGTAGTGTGGTTGGTGTAAAATCAGACGTTTTGTGTGACACATGAAATTGGGACAGATTGATTGGAAGAGTAAGTGTTTGAGAAAGGTATGTTAGTACAGTAATCTTGTAGTTGCAGTCGTCAGACAATAATGTCTGTCGTGAGCATAGAGCGGAGATGATAGAACGGCAAAGATCTCCGTTCTACAGGCAAGTCAGCGGGTCTTGACAAACCAGCAGGCACGCCATCTACCTTACGCCAAGTATCAAGATGTTTTCGATGGCCATGTTGGTTGGTAGAGTGAAGAAGAGAGAGGTCAAGTGTGGGGATGGAAAGTGGTGATGCCAAGCTCGGCGCACGGACGCGGCATGTTCCGGGCAGCAGCTGTGCGAGCTTTTGCGGACCGGCAGCAGCAACACCACCACCACGAAACCTCCCGCGACCGCAACGCCATCATCGCTCATCTCCCGGGGCTTGCAAGACCTGATCCAGTGCGTTAACTGTCCCTCTGGAAAGCTCCAGCACCGCCATTGGACCCCCGCAGCAGCGCGCTGACCCACAACAGCCCAGATAGCCCATCATGAACGCCCGTTTCCTCCGTCCCTTTGCCAGGGCTGCCTTCCGCGCCCCCACGGCTGTCCGCCCCGCCGCTATGGCACGCCCTGCTCTCGTCGCCAGCCAGACCAAGAAGACCGAGGTCAGCCCACAGCAGATGGTGAGAATGGCCCCTAGTTGATTGCGCGGGGAGTGTTGGGAAACTGACTATTGGATAATAGACCGTCCTTAAGTCTGCCATGCCCCAGCTCATCCCCTTCTTCTTCGTCAACGAGACCACCGTGGCCTTTATCCTCCTGCCATCGCTCATCTACGTCTTCTCCAAGTACATCCTGCCCCAGCGCGTGCGCCTGTTCGCTGCCCGCCTCTTCATCAGCAAGTTGTAAGCGAGGATTGTCGAATTGAAGCAAAGGGCACATATACAGGGCGAGAGAAAGCCAAGGATGTCCATGTACCAGTAGTGGGAATATGCTTGTAGACAAATCAATGGCATTGCACGGAGAGGGACTGCATTTCTATCTGGCATACTTACTGAGCAATTATGTTGTTTTTGACAAGGTAGAATGACAAGATTCAGTGTTTCTCGCTGTATGCCGACAAAGAGTGTGAGAAAAGTGACATGTGAATGTATAACAGACCATGGACAAGACGAGGAGATGGGGTGACGTGATGCACTTATGATGTCCATTGCGTATGTGGTTCAAGACGTGCCGAACGAGACAATAGTCTCATAAGAGCGAAGATCACATGTCGCATGCTGCAAATGGGCTGAGCCTAGAGTAGTCCTATGCAGGTACAATGTTGGAATAGAGAGGAGAATACATGTATTTATCGATAACAGCGGGGCACCTTCCCTTCTTGGGCGTTAACTCTTCAGCACATCCACCGCACCTTCCCTCCAAATCAAAAGGCCGAGACGGTGTTGATAGATGTCGAACCGCCAAAAGAGTAATACCAATAGCGGCACAAGTGCAGGGTTCTAGTAGAATCACTACCGATAACCGACTGAATGCTGTCGGCAGATATCCGAGTGTTTCCGTTGGACGAGAGGGGGGCTGGATGGCACTCCCCCCCAATCGACAACGTCATGCCAGCCCTCAGGGTCCAGCGCCGGCGATAAAACCGCCCTTGGCTGTCTAAATATGCCGTATTATGGCCCTGAGCCGCAAGTCCAACATGGCTCAACTCTCTGCTTACCTTCTTGTTACAGATTGCATGGACATTCACCGATGCTGCCAGCCCTGTGATGTGTCCGCGTGGTTCTCATCTTGGCAGCCGACAGAATGTCCGACGTCGAGGCATACGAGCTCACCGAGGCTCCTGCTTCACGAGCGACAGCCAGCGCAATGTCGACGGATGAGCTACAAGACGACCAGCCCACGATAGAGTCGCGTCTGCACAAGAGAACCCTTCTCAAGCTTGATTTCCTCCTGCTTCCCTTTCTGGCCCTCTTCTTTCTCTTCAACGCGCTCGACAAGACGAATGTATGCTCCCATGCATGTGCTCATCCACTACAACAACACATACTGATATCCAACTAGATTGGAAATGCAGAGTCTGCCCACTTTACCAAAGATGTTGGACTGAACAAGGACGCGCTGAACACGTCCGTCGCTCTCTTCTTCGCCTTCTTCGTCAGTCTACAGCCGCTTGGCGCCGCCCTGGGAAGGAGATTTGGCATGGTACTTTGGGTACCGTCATGCATGCTTGTATGGGGCGTTTCCACTGCCCTGCATGCTTGGATACGACACAAGTGGCAGCTGTACACTTTGCGCATACTCATTGGTGTCCTCGAAGGTACGTGGGCTCATTCCACCCCGTGCGTCCCGCCAGCATTAGGAGCTGACATTATACCTAGCCGGCTTCTATCCCGTTACCGTTACCTACCTGTCCCTCTTCTACACGCGCTTCGAATTCGGGAGACGCCTGTCGTTCTTCTATGGCCAGGCAGCCGTGGGTGGTGCTCTTGGGGGGCTGCTAAGCTACCTGGTATTCTCGCAATTTGGCGCAGACCGTCAGGATGCAAAGACGGGATATAAGCCCTGGCAGGTACTTTTTCTCTTGGAAGGATGCCTCACCGTAGTTGTCGCTATTGCTGGATACTTCTGGTTACCACATAGCGCAGACACGGCCTGGTTTCTTGCATCCGAAGAGCGCAAGTACGCCTGCACACGCGTTATCCAGGACAGAGATATACAAAACTCGTCAGATGAAACACGCAAAGATGACTTGGAACCCGAGGAAGGGCACGACGACGAATCTCGTGATCTTTTGCAGCCATCGAAGCGCTCGGCTGCCGCAAATGTGCAGGGACAGCAGCTGGTCGACGACCGTGGACTCACGCCCCAAGACGTAGTATCTGCAATCTTCAACACCAAGATCTGGCACATTCTGGCATGCAACATTCTTGCTGCTGTTCCTGTCTATGCCTTTTCTATCTTCCTTCCACTGGTCCTCGCTCCGTTGACCGAGAACAAGGATCCTGCCTTGGTCAATCTGCTTACTGTGCCACCCCATTTCTGCGGCGCTGTCACACTCTACTTGTTTGCTACATATAGCGATAAGCAGCGCATACGGCTTAAACCGGTCCTCGCTGGCCTGCTCATTATGGCTTTGGGGTTGGTCTTGGTCGTACTGTTCCCGATTTCATGGGTGATACCTCGCTATGTGGCTCTCGTCATTCTCCTCTCGGGTACTTATGTGGCATCTCCGCTCACCGTTGCCTGGATATCTGGTAATACACCTTCACCGGGCAAACGTGCAATGCTTCTTGGCATTAATGGCTGGGGAAATATGGCTGGTGTCATCTCGGCTCTTCTCTTCAAGCCAAAGTATGCTGATGACGGCTACATTGTACCTCTTTGGTGGACGCTATTTTGCGTAGCTCTCTCGGCCACAGGGTATGTGTTATTATACATAAGACTAAAAAGGGAGAATGAGGCACGCAGTATGATCCTGCGCGAGTGGACCGAAGATGAAATCGAATTGGAAAGGCTTGAAGGCAGAGGACCGTCACCACAACAGGGTCAGTGGCTTCAAAGAGCCGCTGCTGTAACCAAGTCGATCAGACTGCTCAACTGGCTTACAGGTTGGCTCGAGCGAGCTGCAAGGCCTACTCGAGAGGGCGACGATAGAATTACGTTTGTATATGGCTTATGAGATGCGCAGGACAAAATGCATATACGATTGAATTCGATTTACTCTTTAAACCCATGTCGCAATCATTCGAACTCTGCCATTTGCTGCTTTTACTCATTTTTCTATAACCTGTTTGCTCCGCTCTTAATGGCCATAACCCCCAAATTTCACGACCTCCCTCTTGCTTGCTGCTGCAAGCACAGCACATACAGCGCCCACACCTACTAGCAATGTTCTCGCCATATTAAGCGTGGCCCACCGATCCATCAGCTCATGCACCGTCTCAGCTTGGGCAGCATTTGCCTCGGCAGCCTTGTCTTCCAGCGAGGCGGATTCAAGCTCTTCTTTCTTAGCCATGAGCTTCGCATTTGTGGGTGCAATGACGAGCAGTGTAAAAGGTACAATACTGGGAAGAAGAATAGTAGAAGCAAGGTTCAGACGGAAAGCCGTCGAGCTAGGGTCTTCTGTTCAACTGCGTCAGTCGATCCATGTCCTAACTGGTAGAATGTTCAAGCGACGCACGGTTGTAAGCAACACACCCCGTCGCTAGAGCCGAAAGGATAGCAAGTGGTCGGGCAATTGCTCCGCCTCGGGTAAAGATTGAGTACCATTGCTTGACAGCAAGGGGAGCAGGCGCTTCCATGGCCGTGTGTATACCGACAAGGGAGAGGCATGTGTTACTTCCTGTACTTTGGTTCAGTCTCATTATTTCCAAGGTTCATCATGCCCGCATGAGATATATCCAGGGGAGGGGCAGTTTACCAAATAAGAACATGCTCGCTGTAATGCCTACCGTCTGAGCAACTACCATGCCCATAGGCGTCTTTTGTGTGAGAATATTATCCATTTTGTGAAATGGGTGTGTAGAAGGACAGAATGTTGATTTTTTTGTCTTTTTCACTTCAAAGCATGTTGGCCTAATTTGTAGCTCTTGTGTTCTTGCTATCACAATAGTGGAGTTTGGTAGGCCTGACGCGCAACGTCAGTGCACCATGCACCATTTCCCCGCGGGCTCCGGTCGCATTCAGCGCAATCCGTTGCTCCGAGCAGCAACGCTCCATGTGGCAGAATGGTAGTGAAAAGCTTGCAAAGCTTGTGAGGCTTAGCAGACTCTGGAATATCACGGCCCTCCGCAGTGGCCGCTCAGTGTCCATGAATACGATGCGTGTTTCGAGTGCATGCTGATGTCATCTTGGAGTGTTGCAGTATTGCCGTCGGGACATGTCGAGACAGGTCGCTTGTTTGCCATGAAACCATTAGAGCATCAACACGACCCAACCTGACTTTGTCTAATAAGTGTCGGACTTGCATCCGAGTATTTATTTTCCCCTGCTCATAAGCAATTCTTGCCAGATAAGACCAACGACTAGCCCAGTGCACAGCTAAACTCGTCTCCGAGGCATACGTAGAACAATCACAGTACTTACATCCACCTACCAAACTACTTTCACGAAGCACATCTCGAACATCCTAGATACCCCTGAAAAACCTCTCTACCATGTTTTGTAAGTCGTCTGCTCACACCGCTTTGCGATTGTGCTTACGAGTTCAGCTCTAAATACTACGGCGACCCTGCGCAACGTGACACATCTCCCACGCTCAATAAGCTATGCACAAGCTGTGGAACAGCTTCATAACCATGAATTGCTCATTCGCCTCGACCCCGAATATGTGTCGCACGAGACCCTGCCGTCAGACCCGGCTACACCGGAGGCCAAGATATATAAGATAACAGACCATATGAATGCGCTTCCAGCTGGGCTGTGGGATACAAAAGTGACATTTGAAGCACATATGACGGACCTGGAGGATGGAATACTATGGCTCATCAAGGCGCCATTGGGACTGACGCAGAAGACTACATGGAGGTGCTTGAGGACGGAGAGTTTAGGACAAGGGGACAAAGGAGCCAGTGAGGAAGAGGGAGAGTGGAGCCTAGTTGAGGATGTGGAGATCAAGGCGAACCGGATGCTGGTGAACACGGTCAAAGGGAAATGCGAGGATAATTGGCGAGGCACACATGGCAGGTTTTTGGCGCAGTTGAAGGAGAAGGTCGGTGCAGCGTAGGGCTTGGTAGCTTCTACCAGTGTAGTATACCTATGTATGTAATGATTAGATGTGCATTCCGGTATCCTTCAAGAAACAAGCCGTTGTAACCAGCGTACCAAGACTTGCACTTGCTGCACTGTGCGGACACGCAGAAACGATGCGCCTTTATTCGTCCAGATGCATAAAACCACGCAATATGCGGCTGCAGAGACACAATCTACTCTACTTGGTCTGGTTGCCAAGACAAGGAGAGACCCTGCATAATGCTACCATGCGCAGGGCCGACGAGTGATTGGATGGTAGGCAGATGGGAACCGCGGCCTCGGATCAAACTGGAATAGAGACAGTCGTCTCCCGGGATATGGCAGGGCCATGGGAATCATCAAGGCCATCTTGTGCTCACGCGACGGTGGGTTGGGGGGGTCAAGCGACCAAATGCCCCCCATCGGAGGTGCGCTGGTGGCATGTGGGCTGTGCACGTGCGCTGGGCCAATCGGGCTTGGGGCGGCTCACAGGTCGGCGGACGTGCACCTGCGATAAGCCGGATAAGACACGCCCGCCATACACGGGCCAGCTCCCCCCGCCTTTCTAGACGGTGGCGGGACCCTTCCAGTCTCCCCCCCAGTCAGCATTCCGCCATCCGCGCCCATCAAAAGAAGCCCAGCCTGCCCAACCACCGGGGCCGGCTTCAGCTCGCTCCTATTTTATTTTTTTCCCTTTTTTTCCCCAAAGCCTCTCCTCGCTGGCCAGCGTGTATCCCTTGTTGACGCGCCGCCATGGAACCAGTCTCCATCGATGCCGTGGTCGTCGACCACAGCGACATACAGCCAATACCCAGCATCCCTCCCACGGAACCCATGGCCATGGAGCAGCCCAAGCTGAAAGGGAGGCAGCGCCTGCTCAATGGACTCCACCGCATGGGCTCCTCTCCAAGCCTCGCCGGGTTTGGCAGGGCCCGCTCGCAGAGCCTGAGAAGCGGAGGCAAGGCTTCAATGTCCTGTGTCTCCCTGGCCTCACCAGGCTCGCCCTATGGTACCTCATTTGGCAGCTCATACTCGTCCGAGCTATCCAACGGCTTTTCAACCGCTCCCACCTCGGTCGCCAACAGCCCTCCTGGCACGCCATTCTGGGACGAGAGAACCCGTCTACGCATGAAGACTCCCGAGACTCCGTCGTCGGTCCCCCTGCCGTCCTCCCGCCGGCCCTTCACAAGAGACGGGCTCGAGGCTGAGAGCGACTATTTCTCCCGCCCCGTCCGCAAGTTGCAGAAACGGGCCAACTTCAACTTTTGGCAGCAAATGCCCGCCGAGATCCGTATACAGATTCTCCGATATCTCGAGCCAAAGGAGGTTGTGCGCTGTTCGCGCGTCTGTAAATCATGGTACACCATGTGCTTTGACGGCCAGCTTTGGAGCGACCTTGATACCACCAAGTTTTATCGCGACATTTCAGCCAATGCTTTGGTCAATATCATTACTTCGGCTGGCCCGTTCGTCAAGGATTTGAACCTGCGAGGCTGTGTCCAGCTGAGGGAACACTGGGCCAAAGACGGCTTCATTGAGTCTTGCCAGAACCTGGAGAACTTTTCACTACAAGGTTGCCGAATTGACCGCGCGTCAATTCACTGTTTCTTACTTCAGAACAGCCGTCTCGTACACGTCAACCTATCTGGTCTTGCAGGCGCGACGAATGCAGCCATGAAGATTCTCGGTGGGCACTGTCCCAAGGTCGAGGTTCTCAATATCTCATGGTGCAACAACATTGATAACCGAGGGCTCAAGAAGGTGGTTGAAGGATGTCCGAAACTACGGGATATTAGGGCTGGCGAAGTAAGAGGCTGGGACGATGTTGATCTCATGGCCGAGCTGTTCAAGCGGAACACATTGGAAAGACTTGACTTGAAGAACTGTGATAGTCTTAGTGACGAATCACTGGCGGCTTTGATCGAAGGCGTGGACCAAGAGATCGACATTCTCACTGACCGACCAATTGTCCCGCCTAGGAAATTTAAGCACTTGAACCTTACCCGCTGTCGCAGCATCACCGATACTAGCCTAAAGACCTTGGTCAACAATGTCCCGTTCCTAGAGGGTCTTCAAGTCTCCAAGTGCGGAGGATTGACCGACGATGGCTTGCAAAGTTTACTGCCCACCCTCCCCGTTCTCACCCACCTGGATATCGAGGAGATTGACACGCTGACGAATGAAGTCCTAAAGACACTTGCTGAGTCCCCATGTGCATCGCACTTGAAGCACCTGTGCATTTCATATTGCGAGAACCTAGGTGATTCTGGTATGCTACCCGTTCTCAAGGCGTGCCCTCGACTCGCGTCACTGGAGATGGACAACACACGCATTTCTGATCTTGTCTTGGCTGAAGCTGCCTCTGGATTGCGCAATCGCAACAAGAGCGGCCGTGGTCTTGCACATTCTGAGCGTCCTGAAGTGGGTCTTCGCATCGAGGCATACGATTGTTCCAACGTCACGTGGACTGGTGTTCGCGAAGTCCTTTCCCGAAACGCAGAAATCACCCGTCCTTCCTCCCGATCGGCTTCCAAAACCCCGACGTATCCACGTGAGATTATCAAGCTCAAATGCTTTCACAACTGGCAACCAACTGTTGAAGAACACACCAAGCGCGTCTTGCGAGGTGACTTTGCCGCTGCTGCACGTCTGGAACGTAAGTGGGCTGATTGGATGATGATGAATGAAGAAGCTGGTGTTGGCGGCGCGGGAGCGAGGCGGCGGCGGAGACGAGCGCGAGAGGCGCAAATGATGCATGCTGATGAAGAAGAAGGCGGCGCAGGTGCGACAGGCATCGGCCGTCGTCGACGTGCACGAAGTGGCCCTGGTGGTTGCACTGTGATGTGAAGGGTATGTCTGAGTTCACTGTTTGAGGTATGTGATGGTATTGATCTGAGACCATGGCCGGATCGGGCCCGGTTGTTGGATCAATCAAGTGCATGTTTGAACTTTTACACATATGGTTGTAGGTTTCGCCCCAGGAGTTTTTGGGAGGGGTTTCATTACTATTAACTGGATGCATTGCTTGGAGTTTAGATGATTTAGATTCATGGCGCAAGCAACGAAGATGGCTGCGAGCCTGAGCCGTTACTGAATTGATTGCACGGGTGCAACATTCAACTTCAACAATAGACTACAGGTTTGGATTATTGTTTTTAAGCTATCTAGTCTAATTATATCATGAATTGGAGACCGGCCCTGTCCTGTAAATCACGTGATGGACTAGTGGAGTTACGGTAGTGGTGCGATAGATTGCGACTACGTACCTCGTCTACGCGTCTTCTAGTCAACCAGCAACCGTGGAATTTTATACCAAGACTCCCGCCGCACTAACTGTTCAAGGCTAGTCCACTCAGAATGCCAGGCTCGGAATATTCCAATGCAAAGCAGAACGTAGAGGCTTTCCGCATTGCTGGTCTCCCGCCGGACTTTTACTACATTCCCAACTTCATTAGTGTTGAAGAGGAAACTTCCATCCTACAAAAGGTCAGTCTCCGTCAACTCCGAGATATTTGCTGCGAGCCGGCGAGAATGCAGTAATGACATCAATTGGCCTTATTGTTACCCCGCAACATACATACCCACCCCCAAAGTCCACTTTTATCCTGCATGTCTATGACCCGATATCCTCAACCAATCTGTAGATCTGACTCGTGTTCAGATCCCAGCTCAGCGATGGACGTACCTGTCTCACCGTCGCCTCCAAGCGGTTCCGTCTACACTAACTAAAAACAATACGCTACTGGCATCACCTTTACCCATCTACCTGACAACACCTATTATAGACCGCTTCCGGGATCTGGGCATCTTCGATCATACTCCGCACGAGCAGCCAAACCATGTACTGGTCAACGAGTACAAGCCCGGCCAGGGCATCATGCCGCATGAAGACGGCGACGCGTACGCACCCGTAGTCGCAACCGTCAGTCTTGGCGCCCCGATCTGTCTGGACATCCTACCCAAGCCCTCCGCCTCCGCCTCCGCCTCGGCAGCCGACGACGCAGACGTAACCACCAGTAATCACGCCCAGGAAAGTCATGACGAAGCCAAGAGCCTCTCCCCCGCTACTCCCACTCCCATTACTCCGAACATTATGATTACCACGCGCACGCTTCCGACCCGCATCTTCCAGGAACCGCGATCCCTGCTCGTCACGACGGGCTCTGCATACCGGCATGTCATGCATGGGATTGCGGAGTGTGAAACAGACGAGGGGATGTGTGAGGCGAGCGTGGCGAATTGGGATTTGCTGGGTGATAAGGCGATGCTGGAGGCCAACGGGGGAGTGAGTACCAGGGGCGTGAGGATTAGCTTGACGTACAGGGATGTGCTCAAGGTTAGTACGGCTGCGAGTAAGGTGCTGGGTGGTTTGGGGGGGAGCCGGCGGCGGGGAGGGTGAATGGGGTGGGGGTGGGGGCGAGTAAGTAAGATGATTGAGTGGAATATTGGGTTAGCGGGGCTATATAAGAACAAAAAAAAACGTGGTGTTGAATGATTTGAGCACGGAGATGGAGATGGTGATGATGATGGTTATTGTGCTGGCGGAAAAGGGGGTGTGGGCGACTCAAAATTGAGTACGAGTGTTGCGGTGTTTTGGTCGAGATGTTATCAGGCATATCCCTGGTAAAGATAATAAGTACATGATGCATGGGGAAAATCATGAGATCATTTTCGTCTGGGCGACAAACATGTGTCCAGCAGGGATATGATTATGCGAGCAAGTTTTGTTGCATATGGTCTATTTGAAATGTAGAGGAGGGAGTGATGAAGGATGGTTGGATACTTGGACAGTGAAGAGTGAAGGATCAAATGTCTCGAATTGGTGGTGGTGAATAGATTTCCTGGCATCACTCATGTAGACAAACACTGGAAGAAGTCGAGATTGTCAAGATTCATCTTGCATTATAAGCACTCTATACATTGTACCCTTTACGCCAGTTACCACTCTCCCATATCGTATGAAATTCTCAACGCATGCTGTCCTTAACAGTGACTACTCGTCCATCTCCTACTGTTGCTGCTTGTGGCCATAATGACCATTGATATCGACAGCAGTGCCATCAGAGTTGGCCCTCTCATCGGCGAGCTTGGATCCAGAGTGGGCAAGCGAGCTGCTCCTCCTCTTCTCGCCAATGACAATGGCACCAACCCATGCCAACCAGATAAGACCGGCAACAACACCGTAGACGATTTGGCCAGCGCGCGAGCTCAAGTTGGCGCATTGGGCTAGGCGGAGTCCAAAGCCACCGTTGAGGATACCAAGAGTGATGAAGATACGACCGACCCAGAGGTGAGCGTGCGACCAGATGGTGCGGCTCTGGACCTTCTTGAACATAACGTGGTGCATGTATCCGAGGAAGGGCATCAAGAAGAGAACACCAAGAAGAATCATACCGATGATGGCGTGGTATTCTTTTGTCTGCTTGAGACCGCGGGCGAGGTGGATACCAAGACCGGCGCCGGCAATGTAGATCATGTAGCCAAAGATCTGGAATGCGCCGTGCAACCAGACCATACCGGTCATGGAGACGAGACGAATGGCGATACCGCCAGTAGGGAAAACGATGACAAACGCAAAGGCAGAGAGGACGCCGTGGGCAATGAGCTTTTCGCGGCGGTTGGTGACGGCGCCGGTGGGGCGGATGGTTGTGATGCCGGAGTTGTTGTTGCCGGTGCTAGTGTTGCCATTGTTGTTGTTGGTGGTGGTGGTGCCAGTTGAGGTGGTGGCGATGAGGGGATTGACGCTAGAACCGCCCTTGGCTTGAGCAAAGTCCCAGTTGAAGACGCTGTGGTCCGAGTGCTGGCTAATTTGGGCTGAAGTGTCGTCGGTGTTCTTGGGTCCGCCGGAGTTTTGGAAGGCGTAGATCCAGTTGCCGCTTCCGGACTTGAAGTCCATGGTACCTCCTGACCAGCTGTTGCAGTTTGAGCCTATATTTACTGTTAGCAAAGAAGATTCTTTGGGTCTGCTTTGAGCACATTCTAATATTGTGACCTACACTTTACGTTGGCAGTCATGACACCATTTGATACACCAGAGCCCTCGAGTAATGTGACTTGAGCGTTACGGTTGGAGGTTGGAGGTGAATAGCTGGTGGTGTGTCGGGGTGAGAGAGTGACGTTGTTTCCACTTGAGGATGTGTATACAACGAATATGTTGGAGTTGGCCATGCCGCGTCCCTGGCCAAGTGCAACCCACTCATAGCTGCTGGGTGCTTGGATCTGGAAGAAGATGTCTCCTGAGCCAGAGGAAGCTGTGCTCTGGGGAATGTTGAGCTTGAAGCAAACTCCTGTGGATGGGCAGACGTTTGCAACTTGAGCAGAGACGAAAGATGCTGAAGTGGGTCAGTATAATGGTCGAGGTGAATGGTCATGGGCAGTACGAACCCAATGCCGTGAGGCCAAAGGCTGATGCTCTTGTGAAGCCTCTCATGATCTTGAAGGATGCAATTGAATGTGAAGAAGCAATGAGAGAGGTGGGCCCAGTGGGTGGAGTAGGTCTGGGTGTATGGTGGGTAAGAGATGTTTCGTCTTGTAGTGATTTTGGAGGGCGTGAACCAAGAGCTTATAATCACTGATGAGATTACTGGCTATTTGGGACACGAAGAGATCCCAAGAGGGAGTGCTGACAAAAGAATGGGGCTACGCATGTGCTCTCAGGCTCTGCACTCTGTGGTCGGGCGGTTTGGTATAGGGCAGGCTCCGGGGGATGTACGCATAGCGGGCTGTGATTCGAGGATACAGGCCGGGGACGGCGGCTTTGCGGAGACCCGTGAGCTTGTGCTCGGGCTGTGTAAGAAGAGGTGAGGGAAAACAAGACAACAAGCAGCATGTCGGCGGTACGCGTCATGTCAAAGGAACCATGCGACTTGGCCCTGCCGCCCGGCGGTGGCTCGCGTGCAGGGCCAAAGAAGTAAGCAAGGCAAGTGGGTGGATGGCCAATGGGACAGCGGGTGTTTTGGACAATTGGAAGAAGAAAACGCCCGAAGCAGCGCGAAGCGAGGAGGCATGGGATGGTTTGGGATGGTTTAGGATGGTTTGGGGGTCGGGCCTGGCTGGGCTGGCTGGGCAGAGAGAGCGGACTGGGGGCTGACTGATGGATGACTACAGCCAAACAGGCCAAACAGCCACACAGGCCAAACAGCCAAACCCGCCGTCTTGGCCTTGGAGCCGTGTCTCCAAGTCCGCCATTGATGCTGCGCCTCTCTTATCATCGACTCCGCGCGTTCTTGCATCACCGTCAGGCTCAAAACACCACCGCTAGCATCATCATCATCATCGCCGCCGCCGTCGTCGTCACCGATCGATAGTCTCCCGATCCCAATATAGGCGCGTACACTATCTACTTACTGTACACACTCTGCGCTACCTGCCGCTGGCTGCCGCCGCCGCCTGTTCTTGGTGTTGATGGTCCGTGCCAAAGGCCGCCATTCTCCGCCATTCACCTCCTGCCTCTAACCGTCTCAAGTCCGTAGTACCACCACCACCACCATCACACCAGCCAACCCGTTGTCTTGCACTCCTGCACCGTTACCCTCAACACTTGCCAATTGGCACCCCCAGCTCTCCTTTTGCTGTAGTAATAGCTTGCTTTTTGGTCCCCATCCCTTCCCCGTTGCATCTGGCGTCGGATCTTCTCCGGTGTGCCTGCCAACGACTACTACCTCGATCAGCACCACCAAGTTCCCACCCCCCTTTCAACACCATCGGCGTCCCGCCAGCCCTTGGCCGATGGCCTATCTCAACCTCGACCCAGCCAAGTCCAACTATACACATGCTAAGCTTACAACTGTCTGCTCCCAAAAGTCCATCCTGTTTCTCGAGCCGCGTCACCCTGCAGCTGCTCGCTGCACTCTCGACTCCACCGTGGATGCGGGAAACGTTTCGGCACATAGTTATGCTTTTGCGCACAAGTCACCTCACATCTGACGTCTCCGCCAGCTCACGGCTACAACCACCTTCTCTTCTCGCAAACAAGTCCCCTTGTCAATGGGTGGTGTACCAACATGTACACATTTCCGCATGTACATTCCAAGCTTGGCTAAGAAAAAACGGTCCTATTGCGGCTATGAGCTTCATCCAGATCGACAACTGGGCGTTGCACCGCCCAGCGCCTCAGCTGAGATGATCCACGGCCCTATCTCGGTCAGCCCTAGAATTATTGCTGTCACTGGCAGACTGGCGCCGTTACCCTAGTCGTCGTCTATATACTAGTCCAACGACCTTGGAACTATAGGTCATCTCACCTGACCTAGCCACCTGCTTCGTCTAGAAAACCTACGTAAGTATCTATGCATGCAGTTAACTAAGTAACGGTCCATGTCCACATCCGCAGACCAATCCTCTCTTGCTTTCTTGAACAATTCGGCTTTGCTTTCTTGTCTGCAAGAATGTTACTACTTACACCGAGTTTGCATGTTTACAAGTACGCACGCCAGCATCTTAGTAGCATAGCCGATCGCTTTGATCATTGCAAACATCTCGTAATTGGTTCTTTTCTCCCCAATTTCCTTTTTCTTCGCCAACTTGCTTCTGCCCAAGTCTAGAAAGAAAGCACACTAGGATGGTGCTGGTTACTAACCAGCTTACCGCAGCTGCAGGGCTAGCCATGAGTCGTGGCGGACATTCGTCCGAAATTAACTTTCGTATGGCGGTGCTGCAAGGAACGCACAATGCCATAGGGTATAAAATATTGCATAAAAACAATCTACGGTGCCGAATACCCCGCGGCAACCGGATCGACTGTTCAACCGCTGGCATTCTTCCAAGATGACGGCAAATAACGCGAACACTTAACCTCGCGTCGGCCATTCCTGTTGCGCTCGGTGACACTACACATTACTGCTACCAATCGCATTCTACTTACAAGAACCGCGCTTTTCTTCCGATCCCATCAGGCGCTTTCCAAAACGCTCCGTTCTCCTCACAGATTTTTCATCCAGCCGACATCATCATCCTATCCATCCGGCAAAATTTAGAGTTTGTCGCAACGTGAGCAACGTGAGCAACGCCAACGTAGTCTACAAAGCAATTGCCGGTTTTTTTTGGTTCCAGTCTGCCCTGAGGCAACCTCTACAGCGTCCTATTTTGGGCTCACCTTGGCGCGACGCGTCTGGAGCTGCTGACATCGCACCTTTGGCGTTTCTCATCTTCAACAGTGTCGTCACAGTCCTGCCGTCCTAGTCGTGAGCGGTACAATCCGGTGTTCTTAGGATGCCTTTTGGCGACAGCATCACGAAAATGATCTGCTGGTCCAGGAAGTGTCTTCGGCCCCATGAATGAGAGAGTATAAATTTGGTCAAGAGTATTGGGATGGAAAACAACCACAGGTCCTGGGGTTACAACAGCAACAGCTAGACCTATTAAAGTTTTCGGCGTTGGGCCTGGCCAACAAGAATCAGCCGGCTGTGTGGTTGCATGCGATATCAGCCATAGTGATCATCATACATTTGGAGACTGATGATGTTGTACAACAGAACAAGGACGTCGCAGACATTATCGTTGCAATCGCCAAGTCAGTCAATGCCATGCGCACTTGGAGCCCTAATACGAAGATTGTCGTCCGGACATGACCGAGACCATGCAGATAGCCAGGCTCAAGTATCGGTGGGCGGCACCAACCATCGCTATTGAGTTCGGAATCTACAACTCTAGGATCTAAGAGGTTAACTATGGGATTGTTGCTTAGACACAAGGTCTGAACCAGATCGAGAGCCTTCTCTGGGTGGAAAACCAGCGTACAGACCTCGACGTAAACTCTAAGCTGAGGAAAGGTGTTGATGCAAACCATCCAGGGGATGCCAAGGCTGGCGACCAAGAGACGGTGAGGAGCAAATTTGCAGAGTATACTGTGCACGAGACGGAGGTGATCCAAGCGGAACTGGCGATCAATCTCTATGTACATAGATACATGTAGAATGTAGATATTATGTACAGATGGCACCACAGGTTTGCACTGCAGACATCATCAGAAAAGGCATTCTAGTAGTATTGCGCATGTGAGGTTTGAGAGGAAGGCGTGGTTGACAGCGTACATGGAGAATAAAGGTGAAAGGGGAAGACACGTGACCAGACGCACCGACAGAGCGCTAAAAGGGTCGTGGGGCAGCAGCCCAAAATGTCGAGCGGCCGATGAGCGAGGGCGCATCAACAAATAACAGCAATCTCGACGGCGACCATCTATCCATCCCCAAGCCTCTACACCCCTTACCCTCGCATGCTCTTAGCCCATCGCCGATCATCCAACAACATTGTCCCCGTCAACCATACTTAGATATACGCCATGGGAGAATCAAGGTACGCCCGTCCAAGTGGGGTTCAGGCTCCTGCCAGACACTCGTCACCCTGGGGGGCACGTCGCCCCATACGACAAACACGAACTGACAGAAACATGCGCGCAGACAAGAACTCGTCGCCTGGTTGAACAACCTTCTCCAGCTCAACATCACAAAGGTCGAACAATGCGGTACCGGGTACGTCTCCCGCTCACGATGCATCGAGCCGCCACAGCCTCGAGACGAGACACTTGGAAGCGCATATACTGATGGTTTGGCACAGAGCAGCATTATGCCAGGTCTTTGACAGCATATTCTGTAGGGATTCCAATCTGCTTGTCCTATCAATACCCTTAATCCTAACAGTGTGCAGATGATGTACCCATGAGCCGAGTCAAGTTCAACGCCAATACCGAGTATGCATACCTGCAAAACTTCAAGATATTACAGAGTATGTCATACATCCGCACCATGCCACCCCCTCCATAGATGATTGCTTTCACGCTGTCCTTGCCATGGCTAACCAAGCCAGACACGTTCGCCAAGCACCAGATCGACAAGCCCATCCGCGTCGAGTCACTGGTCAAGTGCAAGATGCAGGACAACCTCGAATTCCTCCAGTTTGTCAAGCAATACTGGGACCAGCACTTCCCTGGTCACGAGTACGACCCGGTTGCTCGCCGTAAGGGCCAAGGCGGTGTTTCCACTGGTGCCGCCCCCGCTTCCCGCGCTGCCACCACTGCCCGAAGAGCACCGGCTGCTAGTAACACTGCCGCTCCCCGAACACGTACTCCTCTCGCCTCTGGAGGGGGAGCTGCCTCTGCTGCGCTTCGCGAGGAGAACACTGCCCTCAAGGAGACTGTCACCGGCCTTGAGCGCGAGCGCGACTTCTACTTCAGCAAGCTTCGCGATATCGAACTCTTGATCCAACAAGCAATGGAGGCCGACCCCGAGCTCGAGAAGGATGAGGGTCTGCTTAAGCAAATCCAGACGATTCTCTACTCAACTGAGGAGGGCTTTGAGATTCCACCCGAGGCTGAGGGTGTCGAGGAGGAGACGTTCTAGCCGGGCGGTGGTCCTCCTGATGCCCCGGACAAGATGCGGAAGGAACTCAGACAGGTCATATTGGATGCTAAAGCGTTGTTGGAGGCGTCTGGAGGGTGTAGCTCCACTGGGGCTACTGGAGCTGCCAAAGTCAATAGACCCGCCAAAGATACTGACCCTGCAGACGCGACTGGATCTCGACAAGGCGGCAGAGTGCTGAGAGTGGCCGTGTTTACGGGATCTCCATCGTCTGCTTCATCTTATGCATCTGCAGGATCCACGGCATCTGTTGGATTGTTCACGCCTACCGACTCTCTAGAATCCATGTCATCTCCTCTGTCTGCCGAGTTTCCCGCGTCTCTGGAGAAGAACACGCTCTGATATGGGAAAGTCATGTTTGCATTTGGAAGCGCGAGCGAGGATACCACTTTCTGGGGGAGGGGGGGGGGGTCACTTCCTACTTTTCAAATGAGTTTATGAGTCGCATAAGATGTCGGTGCATAAGGAGTGGACAGTCGACGGTAGCACATGCTAATCATGTATTCCTTGCAATTCACCAGACGCAACAACAAGCGCCATCTCTTTTTTTTCTCATGTATAGTCGGCGCCTCGCACACCCGTACCGGGTGTCTCATAATACTCACTTCTTTTCACGCTTCTCTATTCAGTGTGCAATTTCAATGCTTGGTGCTGCGTTTATTCCTGGTGAGTTGAAACAAGGTAGGCGATTAGGCACTGCGCGGTTGAGGCGGGGGATGAGGTCCGCCGAGGTGAGTTAAGCTTAGCACTGGTACGGCAGTGTTATCTACCTCTTTCGACCTCGACCCGGTTGCGCTAGAGGATCCAGCATTGTCCGCCTCCCCATCAAAACACGCGGCACCAGTCAGTCGTCCGATTCCGGTCAGAGCCAGCGGCAATGACGAGCGAAGTCGAGATATACACCCACGTGTGCATCTCCGACCCCGCATTGCAGGCTACCCCTCCCTATAGCTCTGTAGCTAGCTAGCTCCGCGCGGGTGATGCTAGGATTCACGCGTTGTTATATATGCAGAGGGTGCTGTCCCTTTGTACCCTATCTATCCTCCTTTTCTAGCCTGTTCGTCCTGGGAATTTACAGCGACTTCACCACATCTCGTGAACCACCATGGCGGACTGGTCTGACCTGACTACAGCTTTGAAGGGAACTTCAGACACGCTACCCAAGCTCCTTGAATCTGACGACCAGCTGAAAGCGTTTGTCACTTCAGATGCCATTGAAAAGCCAGTGACGTTTGGCATCAAGTCAAGTGCCTCCGACAACACGCTCCTCGTCACAGTTACCAACGGCAGCGCAAAAGTCAGCAATGGCTCTGCCAAGGACGCCCTATTCACCCTTTCAGCACTTCCTGAGCAATGGGAGCAGCACTTCAAACCAGTTCCAGCCATGCCCTACCAGAGCTATTGGGGCATGTTCGGCATGAACATTAAGCAAAAAGGTATCGAGGTTCTGGGCGACCAGACGGCCTATGCACAATGGACTCATGTCTGGAGACGCGTCCTTGAACTCATTCACGAAGCCCACTGTGGTCCGCTTGCCGAGGAGGAGCAAGCTGAAATCGACAATGACTTTCTCACCGGAAAGTACACATATCTGGAAGCTCCGGTTTGGGGCCGGTGGTGCGCAGGCCTCCTTTGTAGCTCGATTCGTACAAGTCATACTGACGTTGCAATTTGGTGATAAAGCAAGGTCTTTTACGAGTACTCGGGCGAAGGCAAGCAAAACGTCATCTTTTTGCATACCGCCGGCAGCGATAGTCGACAATACCATGGTGTCATGAACGACATACGGATGCGTAAAAAATGCACCATGTTCGCGTTTGACTTGCCCGGCCATGGACGCAGTTTCCCTACCAAGAACGCCGCCGCACATACAAACACCGAAGACAGCTATGTAGGCATCATCGCTGCTTTTGTAAAGAAGTTGGGTCTGCGCAGGCCGATCATTTGCGGTGCCAGTATGGCGGGTCAGGTCTGCCTTGCAGTTGCTATTCGTCACAGAGAAATCGGTGCAATTGGTACTATTCCTCTGCAAGGGTAGGCAAAAGGTCAAGAACATGGCAGATTCTCCCGTGCTGACAACGGCTGCAGTTCAGAGTATCTCAACATGGAGCGTCAATGGAACGATCGCTCTCCATACGTCAACCAGTCATTGTTCAACCCGGAGTGGGTTTATGGCGTGCGTAACGAGCAAGCTTGGGCAGGAAAAGGATGCGAGCTGACGTATTGTTTAGATGATGGCTCCCACAACGCCCAAGGCGAACAAACAACTGATATGGCATACATACAGTGCTCAAGCCTATGGAGTATGAATATTTCCAAAGTCTGCTCTCACCTACCTGTGCACCATCTAACCTCTGTGCAGATCTTCCACGGCGACCTCGACTTCTACTTTGGCGGCTGGGACGGCCGATCCCGCGTCGCATCCATCGACACAGCGAGCTGCCCGGTATACATGCTGACGGGCGAGTACGACTGGTCCAACACGCCTGAAATGTCGCAAAAGACGGCGGACAAGATTCCAGGCGCCGTGCACAAGTCCATGCCTGACTTGGGCCATTTCCCTGCAACTGAGAATCCAGCGAAATTTGTGCCGTACTTGATGGAGGCGGTGGATCATATTGTGAAGGTTCGGTCAAGAAATATGAGTTCCCTGAGGTTGGGTGATGGTACTGATTAAGGTGCTATAAGAGAGTAGTATATCTTAGATAGTTTGAGCATAAATGATACTTGTTCATCACATGATTTTTTTTTTCATGTTTTTTTTTCTGCTAAAAAGATTAACTTTTCAATGGCCGTTTATTCTAAACAAAACTTGTAAAACATGTTTTAAAAATCAAGTCCCTTGTCCAGAAGCATGTACAACTGTCAATGCCAAAAAAGGGGGTATCATTCATTACATTAAACCTAGTTATCCCATGTCCCGTTTTTCCAAAAGAAGAAAAAACCGCCATTGGCTAACCCAAAAAAAAACTCCATACATGTGATAAAAGGCGACATGTTCAACAGGACGAGTAATCCAAGGAAAACACAAAAAAAAAAACTGCAAACCAATCCCCCATACATGCAATGCGTGCGGTAAAGGTAAACCCCTCCCCCCCCGCAACCCCCCACCTACCTAATCTTCTCAATCCTCTTCTTCGCAATCTTAATCTTCCCATCCACGCGCTGCACATCCTCCTCAAACAAGCCCAACATAGCATTCTGCTCGACAAGCTCGGCATTAATCTGCACGCCCATTTCCTTCATCCGGCGCACAATCGTCGTCAAATCCACAAGATCCTCATCTTGCTCCTTGATAATCTGCTGCTGGAGCTGCAGCACACCTTCGTTGTCCAACTCGCGGGTTCGATCGGTTTCCTGAGCTGGAGCGCCGAGAACGCGGCGACCAGATGGTTTAGCCGAGGCGGCACCCTTGAAGAGGCCTGCTTTTTGGGACTCGGTGACTGCAGCGGAGGAAGTGGAAGGTGTGGACGAGGATCCAGAGCCCGACATTGCGGCTTTGACGGCCATGCTGTTGAGGACGGATTCGAGGCCGTCGCGTTCTTTGCGGAGACCGCTGACTACATCTCTTCGTCTGCGGAGTTCGCCCTGGCCGAGCTTCTCGCCGCTCCATTCGTCGGTGTTGGTGCCGCTGAGGCGGGCGAGGCCTTCGTCGAGGGCGGAGATGAGGGTGCTGGCGCGGATTAGGCTCTTCTTTGCGTTTGCGGCGGCTTCGTGTTGCGCAGTGGCGGCCGTGGCTTGCTCGCGCTTCGTCAGCCAGCGCCGTGCGTCTTGTAGGTTGCTCTTGAGCTCGGCATGCTTGTCTAGCCAGTCCGAACTATCTCGCACTCTGTCCTTGCCAAACTGCGATCCAGGCAGGTTGCTAGCCTTTTTTCCGTTGCCTATGTCTTTGTCGCCTAGCCCCAGAAACGCCTTGTACGCTTTGGACACGCGCCACCGCCCATCTTCTGTCGTCTCAATGGCGCGCAGGTAGGCTTCAAGGCCTGCACGTCGCTTTTCAATATTTTCGGGCGAGCTGCTGGTGTTGCCTAGGCCAAGGAAACCGCCGAGCCATGATTTAGGGGGCAGCGCAGTGGGTGGTGCAGCGCCGACTTCTGAGCGGAGTGCGCTGTCCAGAGCGCAAAAGTCAGAGTAGCGTTTGGATGTAATGGTAGCCGCGCGTGGAAAGGGATGCTCAATCTTGATGGTGTAGGCGGTATACGCTTTGCCGTTCTCAGGAGTCTCTTCGTGCGTCTCCGGAATGGAGATTTTAAGTGACGGCATTGCTGGCAAGGTATGGGCGAGGCGGGAGAGAGGAACAGAGGGAACAAATGGGTACCGCCGACGACAAGCGGTCATGAACTAGGCACGCGCAGGCTGATCACGCCGCTAGTGCTGTATGTGGTCGCGTGCGCCGATAGTCGTTATCTGTGGGGGGGGGGGCGGAAACTAGATGTATGTGTTCAGGAGCACGGCTTCATAGATTATAGCCTGAGACTGTGGCACAGGGTACGCAGTGGGACGGAGTAAATAAAAGGCAAGGAGATTCGGGCGCAAGATTCCGGGATGCGAAACTGCGTTGACGTCGTTGGATGCAGCTGCGGCACGCTAGCGCCACGTGCGTTGTGGGCCAAACCTCAACACCATGACTGCATCACGAACCCTAGCTTTGGCGATATGATGCTATCAACTTGGGTATATACAAATGCTCAATTCCCCCTCTACCATTGCCTCAGACATATAATACGAAGTTTACGCTTCACCTGTAGGTGGCGTCCCCAACTCATTTACATATCTCCCGCTTCTCTCCACCTCGCGCACCCACTGCTTCCACGGCTTGAAGACAATCCAAGAATTCATTTCCGCCGTGGCCTTTCTTTCCTGCCCGCTCAGGTACTGCACACCACCAGCACCCTGTGCGGCATTTGCCAACAAAAGCGCCTTTGTTTGAACACGAGCATTACTGGCAGCATAGTAGGCGAAATCCGTGACCTGCTCAATGC